ACTTCAGAGGAACTGACCTTTTTATGATCAAAGCTGAATTTGGACCCAGTTACACTATTTGGTCCATTTCTAACTCTATGTCAGATTTAGCTTCTCCCTGCAGTTGTTCTCACTGTCTGCTAATGATTTCAGTAGATCAGGCCTCTACTCAGCAGCTGAGAACAGCTAGGTCAGCCAATGTCACACCCCTAAAGTCTGCCTGAAAAGTCTGACAGCAAGGTATTCCAACGAGAAGATGCTACTCTCATGAATTCCCTTCTTTACCTTAGCTTGAGGGAGCCTAAATTTGCGTTTTGGCAGATACATTGCACAGGCCCCTCTCTTTATGCTCCAGGCAGAAATGAGTGACTTCCTACAGACTGCAAGCGTGTGATTAGAAATTCATAGATTCACAGATTTTAAGGCCAGAGAGGCTGGTTAATCTAGTCAGAGCTAACGTATAGCATGGATCACAGAACTTTCTTCAATTACTGCCTGCTACAAGTGCAGCAGCGGAAGCTGAGCTAGAACTGAGGTTTTAAAAAAAACACATGGCAGTTTAATGTAAAGCTTAACATTCTTCCAGGGGGAAGAACTCACCACAACCCTTGGCAATTTGTTCCAATGAGTAACTTCACCCTGCGGTCAAATGGGTGTATTATTTCTACTTTTAACCTGTCTACGTATAGCTTTCAACTACTAGTTTCCAATACGCTTTTTGTCTCCAAGACTGTAATAGCCTCTATTATCAAATGCCTACCCTCCTTATCGGTATTTACAGCCCATGATGAAGTCATCTCTTAACCTCCTCTTTGATAAACTAGGTAGACTGAGTCCCTTGAGTCTCTCATAAAACATGAGTTCTGATTGTTTACTTATTCCCTCAGATCTGCTCTGAACTACCCCCAGTTTTATAACATTTTTTCTTGAAGAACGGACACCTGAACAAAACATGCTGCATTTCAGCAGTTATTGCAGCAAAACAATGACAGTTATTGCATGAATTTCCATATCAAAAGGGGAAAAGCCATGGAAAAAAAGGAAGAAATCACAGAATGGGGAAGAAAAGAAGAATGATGGGGTGAAAAGAAAAAGAAAAAACTGAAAGAAAATGAAAAAGAAAGGAGAGAATCACAGTAGGATAAGGTAGCAGAGAAAGTAGTAACTATAAACATATGAGCCCAGGAAGAAATGAGGCGATGAAAAGACCATGCAAAAATACCTAATTACTTGTATGCTTTCACAGATTATCTTGGCTGCTCCAAGAGGCCAACATACCATCCTGCTACCCATCTCTCCACCCAATTATTTCAGGCAATCAGTGATCTCCTTGATGCTGATGGCTGAATGATCCTTCCTGCTTAAGAACACATACTACATCTTTGCAGAGTTTTTTGGAAGAAGAGCTCATTATCACCACAAGGCATTAAAATAAACAAACAATCCCCCCAAAACCCACCACCCGTGATTCAAGTGAGCTCCACAAGAGAAACGTGGAAGGGACTGTGTCCCTTCCCATCCCCCAGCCTGGAAATACCTGCCTTGCTTCGAGGCCAGCACCAGAGGATACGGTCAGAACAAACAAAAGGCGCGCACACACACACAAAGCACACATATGGAGCTCCGGGCTTCAGTCATCAAGTGTGGGACATCTGTGTCTTTCTCAGGATGTCTGCGTGTTCAAATAATTAGTCCAAGGCCAGCTGTCCCCTTCTCGCTCTTCACCCTTTATGCTCCCATTGCTTCTACTACTACTGCTTTTCCAAAGAATATTTTGTCTGACAGGTCACCAAAAGAGGAGCTTTTTCTGTGCTTATTCCTTGGAGGGAGGGAGTGAAAGAGGGCTGATGTGGTGATAAAGGGGATAGTACTCTTCTGAACAAGTCTCCCCAACATTTCTAAACAAGTATTTGACACGTCAGAGGGAAGATTACCTTTAACCCTTAAATTCTGAAGTCAAAAACTCTAAACTCTCTTGTTGGCACTGAAAATTCAGCCATCAATGGTGAGCCTGCATTTTCAGGAATTTTTACTGCTTTACGGACACATTCAGCTCTTATATTCTGGGCCTAATTTCCCTCTCTCCTAAAGCGGTGATGCAGAAGTAATTCAGTGAAATTAGTGAACTCTATTTCCACCTCAGGAAACTCTCTATAAGCTATTCATTTAAGAGGCCTTTTTTTCTGATTTGCACTATAGCAAGCAAAAGGCAACTTGGGCAGTCAGTCTCCCTACCAGTGGAGGTTATCAACAAAGCAATTGAAGAAAACTGGACAAAGTATTTACCAGTTGTGTGAAAACAGGAGTGAGAGCAGAACCAGGACCCCTGTTCTCATCTAAGAAATTACACTTGTAGCTGTGCCCCTAAAAGCCACACTCCTAAACAGGACCAAGGTGGAACTGAGAGAGGAACAGCGCTCCCCAGCCTATGCTTAACAAGTAAGGGCATGGCAAACTGAAAGGCTCACTCGTACGTTTAGCAACCCTGTCCTTTGACAGGGCAGCAAGCGCTTGGATGCTACGTTTACTGCAGCTTGCGCTGCATCGTGCCTGCCTGTGCATCATCTCCATAGCAGCAGTTCTGTTAATTGAGACCAGCTGCTTCAATTCCGAATTCTTCTCTCCAGAAATATTGATACTACTACGTTATGATTAGAAAGCACTTTACCAAATGCCTCTCAGTTCTGCACAGCTCACATGAAGAGCAGCTGCAGAAAGAAGGGACAGTTCTCTGAATGCACAAAATCAAACAAATGCTCACCGCAAAAACACTGGAGAAACGAAGGCTGCAAGAAGCAAGTCAAAACAGAATTGGGAAGGCAGGAGAGAGCAGCTTGCTGTATGTGCCTGTGCCTGTCGTTTTAGATGTTGAAAGGACTGTGAGCAGACTTCTTCCTTATGCTCTAGAATAAATGGCCAGAGCACTGCAGTTTTACAGCTTCATGTGGCAGGTGTGAGTATTTGTCAGATCCAGTTTTTCTGTCCAAGGATGGATTAAAGCAAGACCCATCAGTCTGGGTCTGGCTTAGGAGAGTGGCTGTGGACTTAAAACATTTGGCTCCAGGGACTGCTCTGCAGGACCCACTGGC